GTAGCCCTGCTTCTTCCACTTGGCGATCAGGTTCTTGTCGGCGTAGCCTTCCTTGATGCAGTACTCGTACAGCTCTCTGCTGATGGCCTTGCGTTTATAGAAGAGGTCGAAGATGTATCGGGTTTTCTGGTGGTGTATTCTGAAGATGGGCCACAGAGACTCCACTTTCCGCTTTCCTTCATGAGGTTCTGTTTCCGCTTCTCTCATCTTTTGATCCAATTCATCTAACGTTGGTTCAATCAACTCCCAACCATCTGGTGGAGCTTTCCGGCTCCTTTTGACTTTAGGCATTTCTGTTCACAAGATCTTAAAATCTGCTTCCGAAGAGTATAAGGGGAAGACGTCTGGATTCTGGAGTTACAGGCAAGGATTCTTGTTCCACTCTACCCTGTACTTGTGTCTTTGGGGCGGTCACTTTAACACGCTGGTTCTCAGTCCCCTCATCCAGCGGTCAGCCTCCCTCTGCCGCCACTTCCTTACTTGTTCAGCTCTTTAATATCTAGAATTCTTCCCTTTGCTTTGGCTTCTCTGCACTCTAGTGCAATATTCAGAGTTTCTTCTGACATCCATTCTGATATTTTCTTCATCCACTGTGTTTTGGTTTTGTTTTTCTTTTTTAATTTTTAAAATTATTATTAATTTTGATGAAAATTTACAGAGATTTAAGATTTTCATTCATTCATTGTTGCACTTCACCCCCGCCAGTTCGTTCTTGTCTTTGAAAAGTAAAGTTCTTTCATTGTCATACAATCCCTCCCCTCAAGTCCAGTCCACTATGCAGCCTTCATTCTAGACTCCGGTCATGACAATAATATCTAATCATATATCCCTTTTAGACAGTTCTCTCCCTCGTCTGTTTCAATGCAGTATACATAATTTATCCCCTCTTTCTCAGTCTCCCCAACCCCAATGTCAGTCCCATTTTACAACAGTGGCACTATGCAGTATTTGTCCTTTTATGACTGAGATATTTCACTCAGCACAATGTCCTCCAGGGTTATCCATTTTGTATAATATTTGATGAGTTCCTTGTTTTTAAATGCACTGTGTGAATATACCACATCTTCTCTATCCATTCATTTGTTGATGGGCAATCAGGTTGTTTTCAACTCTTTACTATTGTGACAAAACCGTGATAAACATGGGTGTTCATGTATCTGCTTGTGTGGCAGTTATGGTTTCCCTGGGGAATGCACTGTCTTTGTAATGACCTTAAGCACTCTTCCTGGATGATACACTTGATATCATCCCACAACTCAACTCTTCTTCGCTCATCAGTGTTCAAGACCTCAAACCTGTTCCTGAGATGGTTCTGAAATTCAAGTGGCATAGATTCAAGATCATATTTTGTTTCCCATGGATATGATTTCATTTTCCTTAGCTTCATCTTGATTTTGCATATGAGTAGTTGGTGTCTGGGATTCTAATTCCTCTTAGAGTTAGCACAGTTAATTTTTTATTATTTTAAATAATGCTATGATGAGTATTTATTTGTGTCATAGCTTTAATTTTTTTGAGATAGATACTTAGTATAGAGATTATTAGAAAAATTGGAATTTCTATTTTCAATTTTTTTTAAAGAAAACAAAGTATTTTCCATAATAGTTGCATCATTTTTCAGTTCTACCACACCTGGTAACTGTAAAACCCAGTAATAAGAGTAGGTGTGTCAGAGACACTGAGATTGGCTCAGGATAGGGCAGGGTTAAGAACCATTGTACATAGGGTTGCTATGACTTAATAGCACATAACAACAACAACAACCAGCAGTATATGGAAAAAATCCATTTTCTTTGCACATTTGCCAGCATTTGTTACTATCTTATTGAATTTTGGTGATGGTGGTGGGTTGAAGTTTTGTTGTTTTGATTTGCATTGCTGTTGTTAGTTGGATATTGGCTGAAAGCAGAGTGTCAGAAAAATATCTACTTGTGTTTTATTGACTATGTAAAGTCATTTTACTGTAATTGATCTTAACAAATTATGGCTATCACTCTATAGGAGACAAAAGGTATAAATATTATATGCAGGAAACTGTTGTGTTTAATGAGTTTTATTGCATCCACTGCATTCTATTCTTGACTTGGAATTCTGAACTTTATTATTACTTTATGGAACCATGGATATGTATGCAACTGTACTTGCTTAAAAAAATTATCTGCTGCATTATTAAAATTGATATCTTTTTTCCAAACTAGTTTTAAAATATTAAATACTTTACAAATGTGTGTATCATTTTTGTGCTCTGGCCATATTAACCTTCTCTATTTAATTCCAATTTTAGTATATATGATACCAAAGCAAGCACTAAAATTGATATATTATTAAAAACAGAAAGTTTCATTTAGCTGTGAGTATGTGGATTGTTGTTGTTGTTGTT